GTCGAAGCGTACGTTAGATTGGACGAATCTGGCCGAGTTTCTTGAGTGTTTCCAGGGGAATAAACTTTTTGCGGAGTTCATTTGAGGATGACAGCCAGCAGTTACGATGTTGTCATACTTCGTGTGCTCGCTGCCCCCCCTCTGCGACGTCATCATGCCGACCATGCTGCCATCCTCGTGTATGGACTGGCTAAGATTGAAGCTGGCGAGGCGTCTTAAGCCTCGGGGGCATCGCTTTCCGAAGCTGCTCTCGTCGTCATTCCCCCGGCTGTTTTCTGCTCGCCTGAGAATACGAGGGCACTCGAGAATGGACGCATGAGAGAAGAAAACTCCAAAGCCGAGATCCTTGAAGAGCTCGATGAATTTTTGAACGGCAATCCCGACGTGGGCGGATCTTTGGCGCGAATTCGGCTCGGAGCCTGAAGGCTGGCGGGTACGAGATCTGACTGATAAACTGACGGACGGACGGACCGACGGACAGACTGCCATACAGGCGACGGCCCGCGTCCGCTTCGCTCAGAATTCTATTACGAAAGAGCTTCTGGGCTGTGAGCGTCCGGCGGGAACAAGAGTCGACGAGAAAGGGAAACGGGACAAGGTCCGAGTATCTCTTCGGCTTGTCGTGTTTTGTGAAGGCTCTCCGGTTCCATCCTCGGAAGCGGACTGAGAGAGCAAGAATCTTTTGGGATAATTATTGCCCGTACTCCCGTCACGATCGATTTTCGTTGTCCGAGGGGAGTTCCCCGATGCATCGCAAACAATCGACAAGAAGGAGGGGGCGAGCCGGCGATCGGGTGAGCGAGCGAACGCTGCTAATTGCTCAGGTGAAGCCCATTGACATTCCGAAGAACAATCTCTCCCGGTCCCGGCGCTTATCCAGCGCTTCCAAAGTCGCATTCCAAGCACCTCGTCAGGCGTAGCCGATGGAATATTCGGTTTCGGACTCGTATCGAATTACGCGGATGTCATCGCATGGGTCCACCGAGAGGAATCAGTCGTCGAAGATGTCGTGACAAATTCGGAGACGAACTTCTGACTGCCGAGCGTTCACATTGTATGATATCGCTCCGCAGCGAGGCTCCGTCGACCAAACGCGGGCCACGGAAATGGAGGACACGGGGAGCGAGATAAGAAAGACAGTAACTCATTCGGAGCGGAAAGGAATCGCAAAAGATATATGGAACGACGCACCGAGCATGAAAGACGGAAAACAAAAATTGTTCCTCCGCTCGTTTGTCCCCTCACTTGACCAGAGCTGCTACCCGGTCTATGAGAGCCGCTAGCCAACTGTTGGCTCGTGCGCCACGACGCGGTCGCCGTATCAGCGATTCGTTCCACCTTCGGAGACGCCCTAGGCTGCGGAACAAAGGAATGAAACAGTCGATGGACGGCCTCCGCTAAACACCCGTTCTCGATTCGGTGGTGATGAAAGCGCAAGAACTCACCGGCGGAGCAGCTTTTTCACGAAACGCGAATCTTCGCTGAGCCTGATTGGAGGTTTGCTTTTTGCACGCGGGAGCGCGAGAGAATGTGACAGGCAGACGGAACGAAGCCCAGAAATGAATCGAAACAACCGGTGAACAGGAAAGCTGGAACAAGAAGCAAAACCGCCGACTCCTGCCACAACGAATCGGAGTCGTATTTCAAAACTCTGTTCCGAACGAACGTCCTCGCTAACAATGTAGTAGTTGTTCGAATTCGTTCCTGCTGAGCCCCGATGTTCCAATCGAAGCGCCAGGAAACGGACGAAAATCGCGGAGAACGATCGATGTCCTTCCGAGAGAAGTACCAACTACTCGAGGTCCGCACCATATTCTCACGACGATCGGTCGACGAGCTGAGCACGCTCGGCTCCCCGAGAAGAAATGGAAAAAATCAATTATTGACGAGCCCTGAGAGTCTCCGCTCTAGATACTTACGTCAAGACAACCGAGATGATGGATTTCGGGCGAAGAAGGAACCGGCGGCAGGGTTGATGAACTTCCCTTCCCCTTCCCCTTCCCTCTCCCGAGTTCCCAATATCTGATTGTAGGGTTCGGTCGTCTTGCGCACGATAAGCGCCCCTGAAGCTCCGCTATTCCGTATCCTGCACTAGATCCACGAAATCGAGACAAGGTGTCGCGGATTCATCCTACAGGAGAAGAACTCCTCGGAGAAAAACATCCAGACTTTGCGTTCGGGCGGAATTTATGCCCGGGCTTCCACAAAAGCTTAAAGCGACCGCTTGGCGGGACACCCTCCGTGTTCTGCTCTGATTGTATTGAGGCTGCACTCTCAAAGGATCGTAATGCACTGCTACAAGAAGCTACGCGAGGACTCCACTACACTACCGGGAATTGTGCTGACCGTGCAACGTCACATAGTAGTATTGCTGGAGTGGCGCGAACGGAATGGCCGATGAAAGCCCAGAAAAACAACGAGTCGAGAGGAAGAGTCCGAAGAGGATGTCTCCCTCGAGAGCACTGAATTAAATCGGAGCAAGCCCCCACGCGGATACGATATTCTCCAGTACATGTCGGATCAAGTACTGGGGCCGCGGACGCGTCCCGAAAATGACCCGTTTTCGCGCCGGCGTCGCCCGGCAGGCGGGCAAGCACTGGATTGTCCAGCAATATCCGTGCGTTGAGTAGAAAGCCAAGGAGCCGCTTCCACGGATTATTCTCCTGTCTGGGTTTTTCTCGCTCAGACCGAGTCTCTCCCGTATCATCTCCCGAGGATTTTGAAATCATGGCGCTCGACACGGAAAGCTCTGACGACGCCGTCGGGTCGGGATGTGGAATTGTTATCGATCGCCGCCGAGCTCACAATCAGGCGTATCGAAGCTTTGCCTCCCAATCCGGGAGCAGAGAACGACGGGGAATGCAAAGATTTAACCGGTGGGATGCCTCGCGACGTCTGAATGGCTCGGAAGCCACAAAACATGGAGCTGCCAAGGTCCTGTTCAGAGAGACGTCGCTCGAGCATCGGTAGATTTCAACGGATTCCAGTACATCAAGTGTCGGGATACGAACCCCGTACGCTGAATTCTTATTATAACGGAACCGCACGATAAGGAGTCCGCGTCATGTTGCTCCGAGGGACGCAGAGGGACCGTGGCAGTGCAGAATAGCGAGTGAAAAGAAAAATACAGAGCCCGCTTTCAGTGTGGTATCGCGTATCGCCTCCGGCTAAACAGGATGCCAACTCCCGGACCGAGATATCTCCAGATTTGTCGGTGATCGAAGGCTGACTACGTGTAGAGCTCCCAGACGGACAGAATACAGTCCAGAACCGACCATCTGCTGAGGGCACGCTCTAGGAACGCAAATGATCCCCTACTCCTTCCATCCAGGTGGGAGAGCGCTCCCCGACCTTCTTTTCCGCAGAGCACCTGCTTGTCCTCCCCAGGGGCATCATCCATTGACCGCGCACCTGTCACCTTAAGCAAGAATGGCTCCTCAGCTCTTGGCCCTGGAGTACTCCGCATTCTCCTACGTTCGATAATTCCTGAGCCAGATGGGGTAGAGACATTGCGAATGGACGTCTGCCATGTTGGATGAACAATCTGCCTCGGTTCGCAATAGGCGCCGGCCTAGAAGCTCCTCGCCGAAAATTGACGCTTCTGGAAGCGAGGCGATAATCTTGTGGAATTGAAAACCTGGTAGAGCTCAAACCAGGAGTGTCCTTCTTGGACCTACGGGTCTCTGGGAAGCAGGACGGTCTCAAGGGAATTCGCTTCGAGCATGTTCCCTATTCCCTACTCCATGAAACGGTTCGAGCTAAGGCGAGCTGCTGACGCGTCGTATACTTTTGAATCCAGGGGTGTTGTGCTGTCATGCCACCATTCCTCGCGAAGTCCAGGGAATTCTATCGGCGTTGGGCTTCTCTCTCTACTTTCAGTCCACGCTTTCTCCGGCTTTGCAGACTGCGGACTGCTGGTGCTCTCCCTTCTATTCTCCGCCGCGTTCCTCCTGCGTGACCAATGTAGGGAAGACGTTGCCGAGAGTACCACTCTGAAGCGGATGCGGCTGCTGACGCTACGCGCGACATCGTTCGACAGATCGTGGGGCTGAGATGCTCCCCGAAACGCACGGGCGGCCATCCCCGTTCTGCTTCGCTCCCGACCGCATTCCTTTCAGAGCCGGCTTCCGTGGAGCCTTTCCGCCTCTCCTTTCTCCTGCGTCATTTTCGTCACGAATTCGCCGACTGTCATCGCGCCGAGCTCTGCGAAATAGTTCCGACTACGGTCGAGATCATCACGAAAAATACTCTCGGCTCGCGGCGTGCTGTGTTCTGGAGCCATCTGATGAGCTCGCTGTCTGAAGTTTCACGCTCTCCCGTATTCTTGTACATTGAGCTGGGTGATTTGGTTAGCTAGTACCTATGGACTAGAAGCTCTCCCGTTGCATCTCGGTCGGGTGCCAGAACCCCTCGACGGGACCGAAGTCTCAGGGAGCTGTGCGACGAACAGCTTGCAATAATGAGAGTCCGCGCTCAGCGGCGGCTCCCTTGCTTATTAATTGAGCTGCACCGGAACTCCCTCCAGTTCTGCTTTTCCGCACTCTGTCATCCTGGCGTTGTGAGCGAATGAGGCTTCGCTTTTTGGTCGGGTCGTTCTTTGTTCGGCCGTGCAAACCGGTGTCCAATGATGCGTTAGCAAACAATGATTCGCTCGTGCACTAAAGAAACCGCCTGACCCCCTGTTCAGCGCAAACAACAACAACAACAACAGCAACAATACGGCAGCGGCACCGAATGGATTGATTAATCAATGGCTCGATGTCTTACACCAATGCCCCTGTGGAGAGAATGCCCGAAAAGCGAATTCCGCGGAGCCCCGTGCGTCCCAGGAGCCAGGGAGCCACGCTCGAGAGCTGTGTCTGAATCGATCCACTCAAGATACCAAAGAAATTAAACGACGTGCCGATGCAATGGCTGTCACTCGTCAGACGGTCGCAGCATCGTTCAGGAAATAGCTATCCCGAAGGAGTTGACCTAAAGTATTTCTGCTCCCTTTTCAGGTGTGTTTTTTGGTCGCAAAATCGCACATCTGTAATTGCGACAGTCCTCGCGTCGAATCGTCTGATACGAGAGAATTGGAATATGAGATATTCGGCATTTTTCCTGTTGTGTCCCATCCCGTCGAACTCAGGACTACCTAAAGACTACGTACCCTATGCTGTAAGTTGGGTCCCCTTTCACTAGTTCGTCTCGTCGAGGGACTTTTTCCCTCTCTGATGTAGAGGGTACACGCCACGCACGAACGTCAACCGTACACTGCTCCGAACAAGCGACGAAATCGCGTGATCGCGTCAGCTTCTTCGATTTAAGTTTCGTGCTTCCCCCGAGTTACCTTCCGCAGAGCTATCGCCGAAAGGGAAAGCGAATTCCGACAGGTCTCGACATCGAAGAGCTTGATGGTCGGGAAAACATTCTTCTTCTTCTCGGATGTCCCGATGATAGCTTCCATTCCCGCCGTATTCTTTGCTCCGAACCTATTCTTGGCGTCTAAGGGCGCTGATCAGAAGCGGGAAACTTCGTGGACCCCAGAGCGGCTTTCGTAATTCAAGTGGTCCGCATCATGGCCGGTGGCCAGCGGTCCGCATCTCCGTGACGGGACTAAAAGACTGAGTCTGTGTATCGACGTGGAGAGATCTACGATTGCTGCCCCTGTCGACACTCCACAGCCCCGCATGTCGTTCGTGCAGACAGGGCCATGGGGAAGGGAAAGGAAATAACGATGAAAGTCAGAAACCTCTTCAACAGTGCGCGAGCCACTCGGGAAGAACCGCCTGAGGAGGTATCGAAAGGGGGATAGAAGCAAACGAGAGGGAACAGTCATATGTCTCCTAGTGGCAGCAGAAGAATCAAGCGGAAACTATCCGAATTTATGGTTCGAAGAATGCCCGGCACAGAGAGAGTGCCCCTTTCACCTATTTACGATTCTGGAGGCAGCGAGTTGGCCGAACGAAAGTCAAGAAAGACAACCGGCCTTGCCGCGTGGGGGGAGAAGCGGTGTCTGCCCGTTCACAGCCTCCGGTGGCCTCTCGATCATTTAGCTGATCGAAAAACAAGAGGCAAGGCCCGAGGAGCGGAACGATGACGTCGTGCCCGACGAAAATGAAGTTGAAGTGGAGTGTCACGTATCGTGTTCTCCCTCCCGAGGATCCGTTCTGCAAACGCTAACTGACTGACAGACTGACCGGTCTTGCACGTCGCTCGCGAGCGGCTCGTGCTATGCCAGGACCCAGAGTCTTCCGTTATCTTGATGCAGGCGGACGGGCACCGGTACGAGCAGGAGAGTAGGAGAATCAACGAGCGAGTAGTGAAACAGACTGCATCATCACCTTCAGCTCCGTTAAGGAAGTCGTTCTCTTCGGCAGCACATTTGCGGCTGCCATCAAGCCCCGGACAGACCGTGCTGCAAGGTTCCCCGCTCGGCTGCGAAGTCTTTATCCTTCACTATCATCTGTGCTCGCCTTCCTCCTGTAGTGGAGTGATCCTCTTTTCTGTTTTTTTTGTTTCTCTCCCCGAAGTCTGAGCGAGAATATTCTTGGAGACCAAGCTCCAACAGGCGCACTGTCGCCCTTCCGTTGCGGGAACTGTGTACCCGATTGGGTTTTTTGAGCCGACCCCGTCGATGCTTCCTTTTTGATTCGAATGTCCCGAAATAACTCTCCGCCGGAACGATTCGCCCACAAAGCGTGCCAGCTGCACGTGCCTCTCCGCCCCCGTCCGCTCGCATTCCGGAATCGGCACCGACAGCTGTCACGGCTCGAACTCATATATCTGCATGGAGATCAGCGTCAACAGCTGCCTCGAGACCTCGGCCACATTTCGTCGAGTCCTGACCATCGAGTTCCGGGCTCTCGGTTCCTAATCAACGAGGACAGAGATCACAGGCTACTCGCGGGGATCAACCGTTCCGTACGCGGCTCATGGAGTTTCCACGCACGTCATCCCTGGTGCAAAACTCATACGTGACCTTTCCGAGCTCTCTGAGCTCTGACGAGGACCGCTCCCTCCTCGCGGAAAACACATTGCATATGTCTGTTTCTTTGTGCGCGAGGATATATCTCCGAATGCAGCGAATCCCACTCGAATATTCACGCGAGCATACGAACAGCATGTACATACGAGCTCTGTCGGAGAGAAGGTCAGGAGCCTCACGAACATGTGAACTTTTCTTCCAGGCCCGCCATGCGGCCTGTCCCACCTGATTACACAGCTCGACAGCCAAATCGTTACAAAGAAAGTGATAGCTATTCCGGGGTAAACCGGGGGCGCTGAATCCGAATTTCGTAACAGATTTTCTCCATCAGGTCTAGTTTTTCCGAAATTTCAATTTTTCGATTTTTTGCCATTTTTCGTCTTCAAAAAATTCTAGCTCCGCCCCTGAGTGGACTAGATCGATGAAACTTTGGTGGCGGATAGACCTCGGTTGGGGCTATACCTGGCCGAGTTTTGGTGCGATTCGTAGCAGTGGTCTCTGAGCTAGAGCCATCGGAACTAAAAAAAGAAGAAAAAAGTGGGAGAGGGACCTCTTAGAAAGCACTTGACGGAAAAACTAGGACCTTTGAAGCGGTCTGACCTCGACAATTCGATAGGGGAGGCTTTTACGAGCATTTTGAGACCAAGCAGAGCAAAATCGGTCGATCCGTTCAGTTTTTATTCGCAAAAACATTGAAAAGGGTCTCGCAGGAAATGTGCCCCTTTTTGGAAATCGCTTCGGCGACCAACTTCAGAGAGCTGTATCTCCGGAACGGTTCGTCGTAGAGCGACGATCGAAGGCGCGTTGGAAAGCTGAGTCTGAGAGCTTCCATTTGCGCTAGTCAGATCGGAAAAAGGATTAGTTGGGACGGAGATATATGACGATTTTCATTGAATAAGCCCAATTGGATTCTACCATCATTCGGCTTGCGGAGGCTCCATCTAGAGGACGGTATGGAGAGGCGTCAGAGTACCCCGGGGAGATCATTCCAGATATCTGGCGACTTACTCATGGATTTCGGTTAAGCATCCGAAGCAGGGCTCCGGAATGCTCATCAGTGGGCTAGTTTCTGCGAGCCTCGAATAAGTAGAGTCCATGATACCATGACTCCACTGCGTAGTGGAGTCCCCATTACGCAGAAATTCCTTATCGTGCTAGGGTCCGATGCTGGGACGAATCGCTGAGCCCGAGTCCGCGGTCTACCCATGCTCATGTGATTACATCATTGCGGTGATTCATCGGCTACACAGCGGCTTTCTTCGGCTCCGTACGACCAATGGTACCTCCGTTGGAGGTACCATTCTCTAGATGGAGACCTCCGCAAGCTGGATGGTGGTAGAATCCAATTGGGCTTATTCAATGAAAATCGTCATATATCTCCGTCCCAACTAATCCTTTTTCCAATCTGACTAGCGCAAATGAAAGCTCTCAGACTCAGCTTTCCAACGCGCCTTCGATCGTCGCTCTACGACGAACCGTTCCGGAGATACAGCTCTCTGAAGTTGGTCGCCGAAGCGATTTTCAAAAAGGGGCACATTTCCTGCGAGACAATTTTCAATGTTTTTGCGAATAAAAACTGAACGGATCGACCGATTTTGCTCTGCTTGGTCTCAAAATGCTCGTAAAAGCCTCCTCTATCGAATTGTCGAGGTCAGACCGCTTCAAAGGTCCTAGTTTTTCCGTCAAGTGCTTTCTAAGAGGTCCCTCTCCCACTTTTTTCTTCTTTTTTTTAGTTTCCGATGGCTCTAGCTCAGAGACCACTGCTACGAATCGCACCAAAACTCGGCCAGGTATAGCTCCGACCGAGGTCTATCCGCCACCAAAGTTTCATCGATCTAGTCCACTCAGGGGCGGAGCTAGAATTTTTTGAAGACGAAAAATGGCAAAAAATCGAAAAATTGAAATTTCGGAAAAACTAGACCTGATGGAGAAAATCTGTTAAGAAATTCGGATTCAGCGCCCCCGATTTACCCCGAAATAGCTTTCACTTTCTTTGTAACGCGAAAAAAGTTTTTTTTGTCGAGCTGTGTTATCATTTCGCTTCCGAGTCCGGTCATGTTTCGGGGCGGTGTTCGAATTTTCCAATGAAGGAGCAAGAAGGATAAATTAAATGATATCGGCCAGCTCTGGCTTCATTGGGATGCGGTAGAGTTTCCTCTCTGTCAGAGTTCTAGAGGAAGGAGAACGCGCAGAGAAGAGATGGATGGATGAACCGGCGGAAGGAACGAATGGCATTGATAGTTGGAGGAAGTTCTTCATTTCGTCACGTCAACCTTCCTCACTTCGAGGTCATGGAGCAGAGCTTGGAATAGACCGCTTCGGAGCGTATCGGGAGAAGAGAAAATATTCTCCGGAGGAAGGCGTCGTGATACGTTGTAGTCTGTTGTCCTACTCCGCCACACATTCTCGTGGCACTCGCCTCGCTCCATGCGATCCCGTCACGGCTCCCGTCGGATCAGGAGGAACGAACGATCCACGAAAGCAATTTGAGCTACACGTGAAGTCGTTATGGCATTTATATATGTATTCGCTTTCGCCAGCACTTCTCCTTCGCGTAGCAGGAAGTCTGCGAGACTTGGCTTCGATTCGACGGAGCAAACGTCAGGACAGTAGACCGATCACGGCGGTGCCGCCGACGTTGAGGGGAAGTGAGCAAGCAAGAGCCCTGGGGAAAATCATCAAACGACAAGCCATACATTTATTGGTTTTTCGATGTCGTTTTCGCTTAGAACACGGTCCTCACGTCGTCGGTCGGAAATCGTAACCGATGACCAGCACGGAGAGAGGCAGTGCTTATGGCTCCATACAGTGAACATTCGGAGCCCGGGCTCATGAGCGTTTTTCTGTAGATTTCCCCACCCTCCACTCCCGCTCGGTGTACACAGTCTGCAGAGCGTTGGGTTCCCTTTGCAGGATCAAGATAAACTAAATGCAGATTGTGTGCGACTTGCGGACCCCTCTGGCTTTCCAGGACGCAACCGGGGCTCGAGGACCCGAGGGAGGTTTCACTTTATTATAATAATTTGCTGGCTTCCAGATTTCGCTGCAAAACATCCGGGATCCTGTGAACTCCTTTCCGTCCAATATCGTCCTCGTTCATGACAATGAGCATCTCCAGCAACAAGCCCCGGACGAGCGCAAGGGCCGCATGGCAGTCTGCGTAAAGCCCATCCATTATAATTATGATCAGGTGGGTTCCTCGTTTATAATTTTTCACTCGCTGTCGGAATTCACTGCTTTATCTCTCTTCATCCGATCAGAAGCCTTTCAAGACGACCTAATAGGATCTCACGTGAAGAGGAAGAAGAACCCTTGTGAGAGATTCATCGCCCGATCCGTGGTCGAGGAGTCGGAAAAGCGCCATGAGACTGTCCCCTCTGGGGAGATGGACTGTCGGTATCTCTGAGCTCCTTCATGGAATAACAAGGAGCACGCTGGGAGATGTCCGGATTCGCGCGAGAAGTCGGGGTAACGGCCATGCAATACTGCGGTACGGTGACCGTCAGTGCTGATGACGTATATTTGACAAGCGTGGTAGCAGATAACGGGCGAGCAGCGGTAATTCTTGTAAAATCGCTCCTGAAATGTGGAACAAGACAAAACTCGTTCTGAGATGTGTCCGTTGCAGTCGCGTCTACTCCCTCACGCTCTACGCCGGCCGGAATGAAATTTCCACGGGACGTCAGCAGCCGAACGTCCCCTCAATCATTTGTGCGGGAAGAAGAAGAGAGGACTGTTTCACCTCATTTTTCATTTCTTCATTCCCCGCGTCCAGTGCTCGGGAGAATCATCCACCCGAACAAAGTTCTAGCAAATACGCTTATACCGTTCCTGTCTCCGAGCGCACGACTCGACTGAATGTTCCTAATCATGATCTGCTCACTCGGCGGGCTCGACTGACGACAATTTATTTCTTCCAAAGAGAGAGGATGAATTATTTCCGGCAACCATTAAAAGTAACGACTGAATGATGTAGAGGCTGGGCCGTGGGTACGGTACCGATGTTTTTCGATCATTCGAGGTTTTCCACTATGTGTGATTTGGAGATGGTCAGCGGCGGAGGGACTCGATTGACTCTCCTCTTTCCGCTCGAAATACTTCTTCTCTTGTAGGTACTCATTGGCGAGTCACTCGCGGCAGCGGGCGGATAAGTATGGACAGCAATGAAATACTCCGCTCGATGCCTTGATCGGGGCGTCTCTCCAGAGTTCCGGCCGTATGAGGTGGGGAAAAGCAAGCGGCCGCACAATGAAAAGAGCCCCCCCCCCTGCCGGCACCAGCAACCCTGGATTAATCATTCTCAGAGCGAATGAGCTCGTTAAGACTGCGGTGTTCCTCCACGGGTCCTAACCAGCCTCTCTCCCGCCGCTGCGGGCGGAGGTTGACTACTCTTTCGACCGCCGACGTTGTTATGCGTTGAGCATCTCCTTCCATCCTGATGACCCCGCGCTTCGTAGAAGTGCCCGGAAGTTATCGATCCCTTTAGTTCTCAAAGGATGCGGCGCGGTTCAAGACGTACTGTTGAGAGCACCAAGCAGTGTTCGAGGATTCTGGGAACGGATGAAGTACGAGAGTAGGTACAGGAGCGGGTCTCGCCTCGCTCGAACGAGGAGCTTTTCCTGGAGCCAAAAATGCAAGGATTCGCGTGTTTTGTCGGGCTGAGCTCCGAAAACAAATATGAAACGCCATTCCGGCAGAGCGGGAGGATCTTGGGAGCATTGCGCATATCCGGGGAGGCGAGCGGCTTCAGCCGAACTGCGGGAGCTCCCGAAGCTGGGGAAAAAACTATCCGCTTCCAGGTTATGATCGACTGCAGCCAACTGCGTGGCATAGCGGCTGATAGCCCGCCGTACGCACTCCTGAATTTATCCCCGGCTCGGGCTAGACTACTCAAGATTACGCTTCTAACAACACTAGACGTGTTGCCGACGGCAATTTCCTGTCGTCGCTCGTTCTGGCGGAGCCCTCTCCGAAATCGCTTCGTACACGGTTTATTTTTCGAGCGTCAATACCGTGCACTGTTATGGCCCATTGGCAAAAGTTCTCCTTTCCGCTCTCGATCATTAGATGCTCGAAAAAGGACATTTCGAGCCTTGCTGTGGCGCTTCAGCTGACATAGTCGACGCAGCATCGAGGCTCGTTATGGCTGGCCACCACTTTTAAAAAGCTTTTAATAGCAAGCGAGCGAACGACAGTATACGAAGGTCGGAGACCAAGAAGGCGACAAGAGGAGTGGAGTGACGCCGCGAACGGAGCCGCCTGGATTCGCTCTTTCAGCGGGAAGTCGTTGCGAAATATTTGCGCTGCCTTGTCACGCAACATTATTTTCGCGGCAAGCTGTGCGGGTGGCTGGCCGGAATACCGATCGTCTCAGCGGCGGCGTAGAGAGTGCATTTCAGACTCGGCCGACGGATCTGCACCCCCTGTGAGCTAACAGTCTCGGGAAGTCGGAGTTTGTATGTTCGACTGTATTCTGGAGGTCAACTCGTTGAGGGAAACTGGTCCCTCTCCGACGAGTTCCAGCTGTTCTTGGAGGCTGACTGGGGGCGAGATTACTCAGTCAGTCGCTTTCCGAGAGCTTCGACCTGGAGTGACGATTTTCACTCATGGAAGAAATCATAAGAAGCCCCCACAAGGAACATCCTCGTCGAATTTTTCCCGCGCTCCTCCTTCTGACTTGAGAGAGGTACATGCATGGTCGACCGCTGAAAGATCTCTCCGGAGACCCGAGAAGTTGAAATAATTCTCTCCCAAGATGTTCAGCCCTGTGCTGGTAGGAGATTCCCGAGGCGCAGAGAATGCAATGATGCCTCTCCCTCGATGAGGATAAATATGCGGTCTTTCCGGTTGTCGACGGCAGCCGCCTCGTCTGAGGTCACGGAGAAAGAACTCCTGTGTGCTCCCTGAGACGCTAGCTGTCGAGTTTGCTCTGCGCATTGCTCGAGGCCATCGATCCGCGAAAGACATTTTTCAGACTCCACGAGGTCTCGCATCGGTCGAACAATAGGCCGAGCCCGGCTCGTTGAGCCGGCCGTCCGACGCGAGACCTCGTGCGGTTGAGCAACGCATAACTCCTAATTCGCCCGCCAGCGAACTGAATCAGTGGTGGAGGCTTTCCGACGGCCTTCACCGCCCGCAATGGCATCGATTGAGCTTGTCTCTTCCAGACATCGAATCTTTCCGTTCATTGTTTCCACCCTGACTCGAGAATTTTCTTCGTTTTCTCTTCTCTCGAATGACTGCTTCGTCCCACCCTCGTTCGTTCGCGACAAATTGCTGTTCCGACCGTGCGATTCCCGACAGCGGCGATGCCGTTCCTCCCGGAAAGCAAATAGAATCCCGAGAACGAGAGGGACGAAGTGCTCTCTTGACGGGCAAGCAGGGAAATGCGATGTCGCTGTCTATTCCCGCGATGAATGTTGTTGCGGCAACTGCATCAGAAGCAGCGGGCAGGCCACTCGAAGAAAGCTTGACACGACTTTTTCCCTCGTTGCGTTTCCGACCACGAGCTCAAGCAGAGCGAGGGGAGAGGCTGAGGACCGAAGCCAGACATCGAGCTGAAGTGCTCGGGCTCCCCGTATCCATTTCGTCATCTTTTCTTGCTCGTGGTGAAGCCTGAGAACTGTGATTCCGGAAGTAGTCGCGTCGGCTCGCATAACGAGCCTTTCTGGATCCTCATGGTATCCTTAGACCCGAAATCCTGTGGAGCTCTTTGATTCCGAACAACTGACACTGGACGCGGATAGGCGATCGAGAGAGAGCGTCCGACTTCCTATTCAAACAAAATCCCCCCTTACATTCTTGGAGAAACCGCGCATCGGAGCTCCCGATAAATTATGGGTGTTTTTTCAGCTGATTTTGAGCTCCTTGTGGGCAGACGGTTTGTGGATCGGGCCGGCGCCAAGTGAGAACGCGTAGCAAACTTGGCGACTCGCTCGCTGGCACTCGTCCTTACGCCTGGGTGCGACCAAGTGACTTAGAGAGACGACTGCACGATTACGGAGAATTCAGTGACTGGCTCGACGCTACTGGGCCACCCTCACGCTGTGATCATCGTCCTCGTCACCGTTGTTCTCGTCGTCATTGTTGTCCTCGTCGTCAAAACCTTCGGCAGCATCATCAACGAGAATGTCCTCTGTCTGACATTATGTCTCTGGCTGTACGTCGACAGCGGTGACGGAATAGTTTACTTGACGGCGACGAGAATCTGCGTCGGAACAGTCCTCCTGAGCCGGTGTGAAGCGAGGCCCAAAATTCTCCCAATGACTTCGGATTTTCTTCGAAGAGCGCTGAGGTTCTTGTCGAGTGGATCTCGTACTCAGGCATAGAAGTCGACTGGGGATAACTCGGGCAATGTTCTCCGTGTAAAATAAGAGAGAAATGTGGAGGAATGCCTGGTCCCGTTTTCTGAATGAATGTCCTCCTGCGGTAGGAGTTTCTGGAGAGACCCAATGTCGTCCAGTCGGATGGGAGCGTTCAAAGAGCACTATGCGAAGAAAATCGAGTTCTTTCCGTCGATCTACTGCTCTGTAAGTTGCTCTCATAGACACTACGGAACGTATGATCCCGTTCTCGTAGAAACTCCTACCCGCGAATGAGAAATGCGGGTGGAGTCCCATTCGGGCGTGGTCTGAACCTGCCTTTAAGCCACCCTAGACAGTCGAGGCGGCGGCGGCGGCGGCGGCGCAAAAGGCTTCCCTGAAGCATCGCGTGGAATGAAAGCATCAGCAGATGCAGATCATTTTCTAATTGATTCAGCCTCCCGCGGAGCGTTCCATCTCTGCTCGGAACTTTGGTCGTCTCCACGAATTCATTTGGAGCTCGACTCCCTCCTGTTCTGAATGGCGGTCGAATGTCGGCCTCCTTCCGAGCAACCAGCGACATTGAGCCATTGAGACTCGGGGGAAGTTCAAAGAGCGACTAGTCTCCTTTCGGTCATCTGCTGCAGAGGAGTCCAAGCTCGCCGCTCGGACTCAAATCAAATCATTGTGCTGCGTGTAAGCTTGGTCCACGCAATGTATGCGAGAGAACTCGTGCATGCACTAGGCCTAGGAGAATCAACTCATACTCGCATCCGCTATCAGAAAGTGACTCTGCTTTGACAAGCGAGTCATTATGCAAACCGACGGACTTGCCCCTTCCATGTTCCTGTGGAGATTTGGACATCGTCCACGTCGCATGCCGAATCAGAGGAGCATGCTCCCAGAGTTAGGAAGGTTCGCGATAACGATCATTCCCAACAATTCCCAACTCGTTGGGAGAAGGTCGACTCACGGGGGAAGCTCCCGCAAACTCTGATTATCTCCCCTCGACGAGACCGGACATGGAATCCCCGAGGAGAATACTCTTGGAAGAATAGCAGGGAATCATATGTCGTCTGCATTCAATAGATTTATGATAATACCCACCGACCGGGCTTTCCTGCTGACCCACGACGGCGCGCTCCGGGGAGAGAGCTCCAGAAATTCAGCTCAGGGACACGGGACCGCGGGTGGCCCGGGAATAATTCCGTCTTACATAAAGGGAGAAGGAATTTCATCTTCTTCCCCATCCATTAGCAGGCGAACCAGTGAATCAGTAGATCGGGGCCTTAGCCGAAGTAGAACCGGTAGTTTTGGCCGCTCGAAGAACTTCCCTCATCGGTCCGATGCCTGCGCAGGATATGCGTCGAGCCTTGAAATTTTATTCATCATCCTTCCCCCGGTCGGCTCGGTCGATAATAGTAATCTGATAAGTTCTCATCGCAGCAATCTTCATTATTCTTGGCAGACAGCGGCACCGAAGGTTCCCTCCGAGGGGGTATCATATCGCAAGGGAAACATAGGGCAAGACCGGTAGAGAAAGTATTCGTTTCCGCCCACGATCCGTTTGTGGGGAAGCTCCTGGCTGCAGGTGAATCACGTGCACGAGCCAGCTTGGCAACTCGAAGGCTCGTGGCTTACGGCGCGCAGGAACAGACATGCTTTTTAGCGTCGGTCGATCGGTTGGTTGACTGCTCGGCAGCTGGTTGGTTGGTCGGTCTCGCTCGCGCGCTTTCTGTGAGCCGGAGTATGCGCATAAAAGCCCAAGTGCAATTCATTTCCACGGATTGTGTACACTAGCGACGGGTGCGAAACGAGATGATCACGCCTAAGCTCATGCTAATGACATGCAGTCTTGCACGAGTAGATCTTTGGAGATCCTGCTCGCGCCGCAAGGCAAACAGGCACCCATAAAGGCGTCCCTACGCTCGCGGTTCGCGGACGGCGCCGTACCTGCTACGTCTCAAATGTTCCGGGGCGGCTAGCACGGGGAAACAAGTCAAGAAACAAGACCATCAATTCTAGATGGGTATAGCCCCGAGCGCAACTATCGTCTGACGATGAGTCTGTCAACACAAATCGGGCTCGAGCTCCGTGGGATGGAGTCCGGCCGGAGACGGGAAGCTTTCCTTCTGTTCCTCCAATCACGGGCTCTGAGCCGCGGGTCCGCGATCTCCTTGCGACGGAGCTTTCCCTCTCGAGACCTAGACGCGATCTTTTTTCTAAGTCGAGGCAAATACCGTCGTCTGGGACGGAGGAAAATGCCACCAGAATCACTTGAGGCGGGAAAACTTCGACTCAAACAGGCTTTAATGGACACGGGTCATGCCTTCGGAGCAGCTGCTCCAGCTGTTCGCTTCTCGATCCAATGCATCGATCGAAAGGTTTATTGATCTTTCCACCCACTGATTGTTTGTCAACTAGAGCACGCTGACGGGCAGCGCTGCTGATTCCCCTTTGTCCACGTCGACTGAAGAAGGGCTATTGCTAGTCTTGGCAGCCTTCTGCCTCACTGCGTAGCTCCGCCATCCGTTCGGAAAAGCTTCTCTGGGAGCAGAAGCAACGAGGGGACCATCGATCATTTGCCCGGAACGAATTCTATCGGGAATGAGTTTTGCTCATTGCTTCTGCTAATGATTTGATTTTGAGAACAAGGCCCTCTCAGCTGCCTTGGGTGCTGCTGCTGCGAGTGCCCTTTTCGCGTTCGCAGACTCCGTCCAACGTCTCGCAGACTTCATTTGTAAATCATGGCAGTTCCGACGAAGACACTTGAGTGACGACGTGTTTCAAACGGAAGCGACGGGCGCTCACCGATCTGCGTACATTAGGAGGCTTTCCATAGGAGAACCGAGTTCCCGTTCGCAAGCCGGCGTCGAGTGATATTCTGGAAATCGAAAGCTCTCGCTCAAGTTTATCCGAGTCTTTGGAGAGGAACGCAATGCTATCCCGTTCAGCCGGATGCCTTTGCTCTGTTCTCCGGTGAGCCGCTGTGAGCAGCCGTTTGGGATCCTGGGGGAATAGCGGCGGCCTCACGGCGCTCCTGTGTTCAGGTTGGCTGCTGTTCCTGCCGCCGCCGGTCGACGTCGTCTAGTGACACAGACTGGGAGCGAAAACAGAGAGAGAAGAGAAAAAGACGCTTCGAGCGGCCCAGTCGAAAGGCTCGCAAGACTGCTGGAACCGGACCGACCGACTAACCCAGTCAGTCTCCTCGCTACAGGAGACCAGATGCCGGACCGGGGGTCCAGGGCCTGAACCGGGGAGAGGGACATGCTTCACGGAACGGGCTCGGAATGGAGCCCGTCCGCTGTGAGTGAGTCACTCTCGGTCGCGTTTGGAAAAGCAATGTTCCCGACGAGCGACAGCCGGTCACAGCGGTGATGATGGCTGGAGCAAAAAGAGTGAGCCACCCGGGCTTTTGTGCTTGGACGGAGCGACCGTCATGAGCGGACACTTTTCCCGTCCAAATGAAAATCCAGCGAGGCTGGCATTTCATTCAGAGAGCCCACTCATGGCGGAATGCTGCCTTGCCTGCACCATCCATACCGCAGACGCAACGGTCACGGCCGTCAGAGCGTGTTGGCCAGGTCACTTCATCCGGAACGCCTCATCAAAATCGCGTTCGGCATGGAGCAGCTCTTGTCTCGTGGAACGGAATCGTTATCAGGCATACTGCTAGCTACGACGGGGAATACGTCACGAGAGCCGTCGACTAGGAGCGCGCTCCAAGTGTTGCCTCCGGGACTGGCTCACCTCATTTGGAACACGCAGTCAGGATACGAGCGCCCCCGAAGGCGGAATGCGGGCAGTCGCTTCTGCGGAAAGCACAAGGAGCCACGTCCTCGGAACAGGAAACGAGTTTCGTTCGGGCATGATCCGACTACGTTGCCGCCCTTGTCCGTGCCTGTCGGTCCGTGTGAAGGGCTCTCCTTTGCGCGGCCGTGAATGGCGCCCACTTTACGACGCTCGGTGACATTTCGATGTCGTCGAGAGGAGCCATCATGGCCATGGCGGCGCCGGCGACGACGTCAATGAGTGTGGCGTAGTCAGCACTGGATCAGATGTCCCGAGTTACTCGTGCCCGGAATGCCTCCCGGACAAAAGGGAAAACCCAGATGAAAGCGAGCCAGCTGATCATGGTCAAGTAACATTTCGGAACGACACCGACGCGGCCATACGGAGGTTCACGAAATGGACGAACGCCAGTCCAAAGCTCGGGGCGAGCCCTCCTTCCAATCGTTCCGAACTCCGTAACGAGTCGTCTTATTCTTCCTTGTGACTCCTTCCGACCGAGACACGTGATCATCCTTCCACGCATTTTCGGACTTCTGCGGAAGCGACTGTTCATGACACGTCCCTTGTGATGGGCGTATCCGCTGCTACTGGTCTCTTCCACCTACTACAAGCAAGTGACTCACATGGGAGATCTTTGATTGGAAGACCAACAGCCACGGGCAGACACGCACAAAGGTCTCCGGCCAGGCATCCGAACAACGAGCGATGCGGCTCATATAAAGACGGATCGACAGACGGGACCGCAGGAACGTACTACAGACATGCGAGCAGACTATCTGACAAGAAACAGAAAAAGCGTAATAATGTGTTGTATAGCATGACATCCGGGCTGTCGAGTCATCCTGCTCGGAGCTCCAATGTTGAGCTGTGGTACGCTGGGACAACCAATCGATTGCTCTGGTGGTGTTCCGCATCGGAGTCAACTTGCATGGGACGGAGATGTGCCCCAACATCTAGTGGGAATGCAAATGGAGATGAAGAATTATGCTCGAACCAATATTCGAAAATCGTGGCGAGACGGCGGATCTTCGTCTCGTCCGATTGTCTGTGACGGCTTCGACCTCGAGTTCGGCGCGGAGAAGAATCCCGATCTGCCGAAGAAACGAGTCAATCCACTCGACTGTAATTTTCCTTCCGTGCCGTATGCCTGGCTCGCTATTGTAGTTTTCACCGGGGTACCTGACTCGAGAGTCGGATCCACCTTTCTCTCGACCTCGCCTGTATTGACACTGATACGAGCAGATCCCTACGCGAGACGGAGTTCGCTATCATGAATCATTGGAGAGACAGGGAAGGGACGAATTGCCTCGATGCTGAACAATTCCGTTGGAAAGGTCACGATCACTCGACCGATGAATTTTTCACCTTCAGTCGAGAGAGTGACACACAGTGAACGTTCAGACGATTGTATCGATCCAGGTAGTCCAGACTCGGTGCACGCCTCCTCATTTGCTGGCCCTTCCACCATCACGCGAACTCCTCGGACTGCGAGGAATCAGCATCAGCAGAGACCGATCAAAGATCACTGTCAGTATCTATTTGGGGGACAAATTCATTTCCTTACGAGCTCCCACCCTTCCCTTCCAGTTATCGAAGTTCGCCGAGTTCGTCGAGTTGCACCGCATTCTCGGTTATCAACATTTCTTTTTCTACAATCACACGATGGGCCCTCAAGTGACGAAATTGGTCGAGCACTACATCGAGAACGGTGAGTACGATGATCGCATGGGACTCTTCCGCGTGGACTCCGATAAATAATCATTTCTGATTCCTTCCTGCTGATGGCTTAGCAACCTCTGTGGAATAAACGCTGTCCAACGACGAGCTCATCTCGATGAGACAGAATTTCGTTGCCCCGCCGTCAGCACCCACGTGCTAACGAAACTCATTCCCGGAACTTGTTGCCGATTTCGAGCCGGAGAGTGCTTCATGGCCACAGTGTGCATATTTGGGCTAATTTGCATACTCCGTTGAAGTTCGACGCGATAAACGCTCGTTGTTTCCATGCGTAGGTTATTCGAGCCACCGCTGTTACGGCAACTTGTTTGCCGACTCTCGCTAACGCCGAACGCATCTGCGAAGCTTCTCGATGGGCTTGTTGCGTCCGTAAGGTGCTTAGCGTCTTAATGAACAAGTATACAATATTGAAGTAGAGGCTTGCGGCCTTCCTCGACAGCACTGACAGGCGGTGACTCCCCGACGAGGAATTCTCGCTCCTGTGTTTACACTCGAGCTGAGGCTTTTCCGCGCGCAACTTCATCAGCGTTTCCAGTTGGCTTCCTACCTATCTATGCGGCCCTGTGGTAGCCTCGAATACGGACGAACACGGTCACGCGCGACCACAGGCAAGACTTTCGCGTATTCACCGCTCTGGCGATCGTAGCGACGTCGCCGACGCACGACGGGACGATGGAGGGGAACACAGCTGATTCCGGGACGAAAAAGCAGACAATGAGCGCTTCCGATTGATATTCTGATCCCCGGATCGAGATGTGAGGCGTCGAAAAAAAGGAAGACGACGCTCAGCACGAAAGGATCGCTTCATTGTTCGCTCCAAATCCCCGAATCTTCGCCGGATCAAAACCTTGACGATGAGATGTCTGAGAGGCTTGCCCGGGGATGTCGTCCCTCTTGCGCACCGATCGTCGGCACTCCGTACCCGGGGAGGCTCGAAATCCGGGAACTTGAAGCGCATCCCCCGGAACCGAAGACCGTCATCGATCGGAGTCGACTGCGCGCAACATCAATGGATGAGCCCCGCTTGAGTATTCCTCCGGCGGAACCCGGTCCTCCGCCGGCGGAACATGAGGCATTCAGAGACTAACTCGACAGGTAGCTCACAAGCAACTATTTCCGCTATCGACATTCGCTCGTTCGCTGCGCCTCCGATCCCAACTGTTCCGGGACCTCGACGTGCAGCGTCAAAGGAAGCTATCTGAGTCAGTGAGTTCGCTCGGCCACCTACCCGCACAACAAGGAGAACACCGTGGAAGCGCCGGCTCCAGGGACCGGGACGAAAAGCCGATCCCAGTTGGTACATACTACGTACGCACAACATACTAGCGAACAAGAAGAACTCTTGCCCGGGAACACCATTGCTCAAGGGAGTTCGCGACTATGACGTGCTTAGTGTCTGTTCGACCCTGCGCGCCGTTGTCCGTCAGTAGCCACAACTTCAGCGATGCGATGGGTGGTCACGTACCTAGGGCACGCTTAGAACAGGCCTGTGTGCGAAGGGGCCACCGGTCGTCAGCCAACACAACGACGAGCTAGAGAACTTTCATAATCGCCTCATCGCGATGACTGCCAGGCAGGAAAGCTCGGTGGGTTCGGGATCCCAACGACGGACGCTTCGGTGCTCGAACACCTTTTCGAAGGTATAAGATCCGCCCCCCATCGCGCCTCCGTCAGGCGAGTTGGAACTCGCCATCGTCATGAGGTCATCGAGTTAGTCCCTTTCCGCTGCAACAACCTCTGATCCGACCTTGATGGACGGCAGCGCTGCCTCTCGATGGTGGGATGAACGGTCTGACCGTAGCCGTTATCCCCAATCGCGTTCCTGGCTCGTCCGAGTCGGTAAGGATGAATATCTGAGTTCGTCGCTGTCACGATGACGCAGAAAAAAAAGCGGATTCCTTCTTCGGTTTGGAGTCGACGGTTCCGACTCGACGGCCTCGGAGCTAGACGTCAGATTATGAGACGACTGCGTCCCCGGGGTGCGACCGTGGGTTGGAGAGAGGAGCGTGTTGACCTTCTTTATGCGGTTCCCTGATCCCATCGTGTCAAACACGCTTCTGCTCTCTGAGCATAAATGTATTGCTGAATACGAGATCACAAAAAGGTTGTGCGATATTTCGCAGTTTGCCGCTCTTTGTCGAACCCGAAAATGGAGCACGATGGGGTTCAGAAGGTCGGAGTTTCCCTTCTTCTAGTCACGCGAAACTTTGTAGAATTCTCTCGACGTAAGATCTTGCGTCAGAAGTCCTGGAATATATTGTATGCAGTTCGCTCATGAAAACGTGTGAGCCTGTTGCAAGAGTTGAAGGCCAGCACCCGAGGTCGTCGGGAAGAATTTTCATAACGAAACTGTCCAGCAATTTCTTCGCCAACGGATTTCCCGAATGTTCTATGTCTCGCGATCCCCGTTACCCCGGGCTTCATTTTCGTCAAGACGTAATTGTTTCCCTTCTAACAGTCGCATCGATTCGACGGACGCTGTCAATGTGTCGAAGGAAGTAATTTGTTGGGGAAGCCAAGCAAACACAATATTTTCTCGAGAAGAGTTCTTTCGTAACCCTCATCGTCTGGACACTTGACAAGTTCCCTCTGCTCTAGAACAACCGTCAGACGACAACAGTCTACTCCTGTTTGGGCACACGAACGCCTACTATCTCCAGAAAGTCGCAAGGCTCTGCTCCGTATCTCGGGGGTATTGAATTTTTCCATTCATCTTCCCGGAGAGTTTGACCTCATGCCAGCGGAGGCGACAAGAGCACGGAGATCTCGGGAAGTGGGTTCGGAACTTTCGAAGGGGAGCGGCGGCGGATCCCCTGGATATCCGTTCGGCGGAATTCCCAACATAGAGAATTTCCCGGTCCGAATTCGGCTGTGCCGGCGGACGCCGAGGATACGAATAGCGAGACGAAGTATCGGCGCTTGAGCCTCCCGTGGAAACGATGACGTCATCAGGAAGAAATTATTCCACGTCGGGTTTTCCCTCCGGGCCAGATGCCGTGAGCCGACAAGATATCCTCATTATTATGGACAGCTAAGGCACGTACACAGCTAACGGAACAAAGACTTGAATGGCCGGTGCTAGCGAGGAATCCTTTTCGCTTTCGGAGATGTTCGATATCTATTCCCATTCGTTCGGTTGCTTTTCTACACGCGCATCAGCGAAAGTAGCACGGAGCATAAATACCGGATTAGTCGGGCCGAATTCTCGTTGTGGGAGCTGCTCTTCGAACGTTCGGCTGCAATAGCTACCCCTCTGCCGTCCGATGAGTGTAGAACAAGTTGGACGCGAAGCTTCGCGTGGGAGAAGAAGAGTAATCTGCTTCGAGTCGCCCCGTAGAGGCATTCCTAATCAGTCAGGAGCCGACAATGACATCGTCCCACGAGCGCAGTTGGTGGGGTCTATTGTGCTCCTTGTTTTTGGAGCTTATCAATACTTTCCTCATTGTTTGCGTCTTTTTTTTTGCTCTGGATGCCGGCTTCGCTCCGGTATCCGCAGATATCTATCCTGCGAAAATTAATCCTGCCTGTATTGTTTCACTCGAAGCACGCTACGGAAGCTGTCACTAGCTTCAACGAAACGAGCTCTGAAATCCGATACGCAGAGGAGAATAGAGATCCGGTGGGACAGCTCCCCCGAATCGGGGCACTCGATTAACCATCGCACCTAACTGACTCGAATCCGATGATACGTGTCGAAGCTTCCGAAGGCAACTGCTTGAACCCGACAACGATCTCTTTGTTCAGAAAGGACTCAAATCGGAAGAGCTCACCCCGTAGACTACGAGAACTCTTCAACTGCATTTATTCAGAGATCACGTATCAAGTCGCGAGAATCGCAAGAAGAGAAATTAATCTAGACCGGCGTGGAGCATTGAGTAGCAGTCAATAGGTGTATGAGAACTCCTCGACTTGTTTATGGTACAACAAATGCTACCTAATCACGTGATCGCACATTTATCGGCAATGAAGCTTTGCCATTCTGCGGAGAATCCTCATTTTTGATAGCATCTTTCCGTCTGGCGACGAAATACGGACAACAATCGGAGTTTGTCCCCGCTCTGCTCGTGCTGGGATCGTAAATCCTACTCGAAATTCTCGCAGAGTCGTCGGCTGACCGATATCTTGAGCTGATCACACCGTGCTCGGGAGATCCGAAGTTTCCTGAACACTCATTGGACGTGCAAAACAAGCTGGAGTGTCTGAATATCGATCGACTGCCAGGGAATCTGATTGCGGAATTATTTAATACTCCAAAATACTATATTCGAATCTCAATGAGACGCGTTCCTCTACGTTCGTATGCGAGACCCTGATCAGCTCATCACAGTATCGGATCTTGCTTCGTTGGATGCGACCGCAATTTCCGCTGCAGGAAGGAACTCGACACCGAATTTTTCCATTAGTGATTGCGAGCTTACTCACTCAATTCCCGGTTTCCCGTTTCAGGAGTGGCTACCGTGCTTCCTTGGCAACTGGATCTGATCTCTCAGAAAGAGATCCGAACGGAAGGTCTCTTCGCAGCGCTGAACGATTGTCTATACAGATCCATGTACAGATTCCAGTATACAGCTATGGTGGATTTCGATGAAGTTATTGTGCCTAAATTCAGACCGAACGCGACTGTTTTGGTAAGCGTCCGGGTATCCTACGGGAATTATCGCGGGTGATCCGGGCACGGATAAGTGGTATTGTCGATTCTCAATCCGGAATGCGTAGCCCCGAATTAGAATCTGAAACTTGATATGTCACCTTGACCCTATCAATTTCGTGAACAATTCTGTGAGTTTGCCATTCACCACGTGATGCATGCCAGCGATTATGAGTTCGGAGAGGTTCTCGAGACCGATTTCTGCACGTGCCTTCGTAGACTTCCGTCAGCTCGAACCACGCTCGCTGCAAGGCCATCGATACCGACGTATTTTCGTCGGAGACATAAAGGCGAGAAACGGGGCAGCTTTGTTCATTTTTTATGCCGAGAGAATCGAGCTACAGTGGCTCGGCACGAGCTAACGGAGGTGCAACAGTGCGCTTAGAATTGACGCCTTGTCGCAAGAGTGTTGTAGGCAGCCCATATGCATTTATATGAGATCCCCGTATAAGTGGCTCTCAAAGTTTACGGCGTGGGCATTTCTGAGTTCCTCCTGTTGTGGGTATAACATCCGTGAGGATTTCGCACAGCCTCGAGCGGGTTGTCGCAAGCTGAGACTTGAATACGTATGGAATATACGAGGAAGTGTCGCCGGCGGAGAACCTCAAGGCAAATTATAGAAGCTCATGTTTGGAAACCGATTCTCAAGCTGAAATTCCCAGCGGAATGATTTCCCGTGATAGTTCGGCGCCGGCCCCTCCCGAAGATACAATACAAACCATAGGTTCGGGAAAGCAAAACAATTTCTACTTTCCCTTCCGAAGCTCATATTTTCCTTGAGGATTTGTTCACGCCCCTTATTGACATTCGTTGTCCGTTGGCTGTTGTTTGTCGAACGCCCTCTAGTTTTGTCGCCAAAACGGAAGCGGAAAAATCGTTCCGAGAATCTAAAACAAAAATCTCCCTCCCTACCGTAGGAATTATTGCAACAGTTGAGCGCAACGAATCCCACCCATGACGGTGCATTCTCCTTCCAAAACGCGTTCTTCTACCTTCAGTATCCGGATGGGGAGGTGAGTTGGTCCTTTCTGTCATCCCCGAAGCGTTCAGTGGATTAGGCTCCAAAGTTGGTTGTGACGAGGGAGCCCCAGAGATCAGACACCAACGATAATATCGCTACGTAGACTAAGCAATAAGCCCGAGAGGACTCTTGGGAGAACGGCTCGAGGTGTCCGCTCAGGAGAGCGGCCTCCCGGGTAGCTGCTGAGTGAATATCTCTCCTCGGGAGATACAGCATAAAGCTCTCTTATCGCAGGTACCGTTCGCGGACCCAGCCGGAGAACTGCAATATTTGCGCAAAACCCGCCGGAAGGGTAAATTGCACAACCATCGACTCCGCTCGAAGTACATCGTCGTTCCCGAACGAGTTCAAGAAGTCGGTGAGTCTCCTTGCGAATTTCCGAGATATACCGTCCCAGAAAGGATATATATCCACCGTGCGCATGATCCTCCGCTCTTGGAGGATGGAGTGACTTTCAAGGCGTATCGATCCAGGGATGGAAGCCGACGCTAGAAAGTAAGAGCGGAGGTTGAGATCGATTGAGACGAGCTCAGACCCATCCTTGGCAGGCGGGAAACGGAGCTCTGTGACGCGAAATCGGAATTTCTAAATTTGATTTCCCCCGCCGCAATCTCCGGCATCGATCTCCTCCGAAGTCCCTTGTAGCACTTGACGCGCTTTGGTGTATGTACGTGAACCGGAAGGGAAACTCGTGTCAAACGTTAGTGGGCGCGGTCGCATGCGCTTGATGGCGCGGCACGAGACGCGTCTATTGTCCTCTATTAGCAACTATCGTTGTCAGGCATCCCGGTCGACGTTGTTCTTTGCCCTCATGGCTTCGGGGACCAAACTTCAGAAAGCTAGACAAACGAAGCGAAGGGGCAAGAAGACCGTGTCAAGCTCCTGTCGAGCCACCGGGTCGCGGCTTTGTTCTTCTCAGGCGTATGGCCGCTTGTGGAGCTTTAGATGGACTATTCCCGGCTTTCTTGTTCATCTTCCGCTTACGTGTTCATCGATAAGGCGCGTTCTGTCCCCGTATGTGCAGAGGAACCTAAACACTTACCCTTGGCTTGCAATGGGGACGATTAGTTGATGGCGGTGGCGAACGATGCCGCAGAGAGAGGTCATGCCACTCGGTCATGATTAATTGCTCTTCTTTCAACCATTTATCCCAGATGGGAGGGATGAAATGAGATGACCGTTGGCTCTGTCACATCTCTCATCTGGTCTGTCATAGTTCGTCCTTCATCTTCCGATCGACCACGTGCCATGGTCTACCCTGTCCGCGGGTTTCGTCTGGTACTCACCATCATTCAATCTAACGTCGCGTCGTTGAGTTAGCGTCACGAGACGCAGCGTCCCCGAGCCCCGGGGTTCTCAAGGCCGTACTGGAATCCTCCGTGGAATCTATGACTCCGGGAGCCGAGATGTCTCGAATTATTGTGCTGGTTCGGGTCAGGTCGATGCCGAGAATAAGAATTTCTCCCCGAATATTGACCAAGAGACCTCCCGCGCTTCCACTCCGCCTTGTCATGTCTCATCGTCATTCTGACGGCTATCAGCTCCCTTCCCTCCGCAGATTACTCCCCACGTCGGACATCGGCGTCGGGATCGTTTATCTCAAACGCGGTATCTATCCCCGTCGTTATGGCTCTTTCTTATCTCAGGTCGTCCGTTACATTTTCCATTTTTATCTCCCTCCTGTCTCTTATTCTCTCCATCTGAAACCTCAGTGACCTTTCCTTATCCGATCTTCGTTGGGACCTATCCGCCAATTCCTCTCAGGCTGTCGTCGCCTATTCCTTCTCATCGATATCAGACGGAGAGATCGTGGTAGGTTCTTGGGGCATTCTCTGGATCGTTGCCGCGCCCTCTCATTGGCAAACCACTGACACGGATCGTCGCTTTGACGTTGTTGCCGGGGAACCCGGCACCGGGCGGTAGCGGGCAACGCTCCGTTGCTCTCTGGGGTGCGTCCCAGCTCGTCGGCGGAATCGGAGACGCGACGTCAACGAGATGTTATTGCGAAGTCAAATTTCGTCAGACTTCGATATTGGTACGATTGTCAGCTTCGATTCGGCAATGTATCTGTCAGCATTAGCGATCGAAAAAGCCGTGCTTCCATTCTTGGCTACGACCGTTCGCTGGATCTCTTCTACCGCTCTGATGGAACCGATTCGGAAAGTTACCTCAATGCCTCCGCATGGGAGCTGAAGCACCCCGAGGAGGAGGGGCTTGGAGCCGCGGAAGATCCGTCTCCAGCGACGCCCGCGTAGGATACATTCGTTGAGCGTGAGCTCCGGGGGCATCGGATGTGAATAGAAGCTCACTGACGACGGTGTTCTACATGGTAGATCAACTCGGAACAAGAGTTTATCAAGAGAGTCTTCCATCTCCCCGAACACAGTTTCTTAGATAGGAGCTGCCCCGGCTTTGTCTGCGATGGACTTGAATGGAAAGGTGCGGGTGTAGAAGGGCGGCTGGACGGAGTTTTAGAGTGCAACGCCCACGCTATAGACAGAAAATTTATTATCGATCTTAAAAGCCGGGAGGGAACACTGTCATAAATAAGTATGCTGACCGCTGAGAACCCATTCTTCTGTAAGGCAGGGCCGGCCGTGGATCGCTCAGCCTTCCACCCGGTCGGACTGAATGGCTCAAAGAGATCTGCAGGTCTATGTGTATCACGTCTGCTGAGAGTGGGCTCGGGAAGAGCTCGGTACAAAGCGAACGTAAAGGAAAGCTCGAACGAGTCACGAGACTGCTGACACCGACCGCGCCTGCAGAATAGGGCTGGCGCGCGGAGTTTTTGTTCGACGGTCCCCACGGCTGAATCTTCCGAGTCGTCCATTCTCGCCGCCCGTCGAAGTGGATACGTCTCGCGTGGTCCTTCCGCATGTGTCGCGAATAAAATATCAAGAGGTCGGCTGACCGGATCGCGATTTTCGCGCATAGAGAATTCGAAACTTTTTCATCTCTTCCAAGTTCGATGGTAGCTACGAGATATCTCTTCGCCGAGCTTATTCGAGAACCTCAGTGCGCGTGGAAACGCACATTATTCACACTCGAGGGAACCGTTGGGATATTCGAGTCCGTCTGACTCCATTTAGGAGCTGCGGTATGATCGATGGGACGGCCGTTAATTTTGATATTGTCCCTAGAGTATCAACATGGAAAATTTTCGCTTGCGGATGCTCCATCGGCCTGTGGTCGCGTCTCCAGAGTGCCCGTTATTCTTCATGATTCTCCTCGAACAGTCGACTTCGATCTGATTTCGATTCTGATCGCTGAAGCTAATTTCCTTGTTCTCTTGTTCCAGGGAACCATTTCGTGTGGGAATTTATGCCCGACTATCACATGTTCAACGTCAACCCGACCGCAGGCTTCCTCCATCATTATCGAGTGAGTCATCGATGAGGCATATTCCTGACATCTGTGTCACTTCCCGTTGTCCTGAGAGGGAGCGGGACCGTTTGAGCGTTTCCTTGGTCGAAGTCTACGGCTGTGATGAAGGTGTTCAGAGCGCGACGTAGCTGATTGCAATGAGTGTTTCAGGTTTGTGAGTTCGGAGGAGATGGGTGCACCGTCAATTCTTCATCAGTGGTGGACAAATCTTTACATTCCTACGCGGAACGACTGATCCGAGCCTACTCTGAAGCCATGGCTGTGGTTCATCCGGCCAACTACACCAAGTATCTACAATAGCTCGATCGACTACGTTTAGATATTGTTGGAAAGTGGACAATTGACATGATTGCTATGTGAAGACCCAAACGATCGTATCAGAGAGTTCAGCGAAAAGGTATCGGATCATGACACGACTACCAGTGTAAGAGTCTGCAACCGTCAGTTCCTCGGGGAAACGAATGATCGATCGATCGATCCTTCAAAGGTGGAGACGGGGCAGGGGTATTTTCTTCTGTCAGAAGAGAGCAGAAACGGTGTATGATAAAGAAATGGTTGTACAATAAAGATGAATGAATGTTGGCTTGATGATAATTTGTCTAAACTCCCCGTGTTTTTCTTCCGTTCCTCGGATCCGATGGGTCTGATCTGATTCGGAAGCGATGAACGAGTGCTTCTCGACCGAGAGTTCAGACACAAGAAATTCCAGGGGAATCTGGCGCCAGCGGAATCTCCCCTTGAGAAAAATCCTCCCTTCGCGCACCCGCTTACAGAAAACCGCGGATATGAATATGGGGGACCTGCCTTCAAATGAGGCGCGTTCGACGGTCCTAGGAGCGAGTCATCGACGTTTCCCACGTCGGCGTCGTTTTATCACATGAAATATTAGCGTCAGACAGCCCCGCGTGCTATTGTGGTGGATAAAAACGTCCTGTGACGATGGGTAAAAACTGACCTCGATAACGCGTTGGAATGTCTCGTTAGCGCCCGTGGGCTCGGGACGGGTGAATCCAAATCGAATGTTCTTCTCTTTGTTCAAACTCAGAACAAGCCCTAATTCGTCCCCTCCCCCTTCTTTCGTCCTTTGAGGTTCAGACCGGGGAGAATCGACTCATTGTGCCTCATTTCCCATTGCAAATTGCCGGTGTCAGATTCACAGGAATTCCCGTATGATTTCCACACGAGTTCTCTCCCATACGGCAGGTCCCTCCGCAGGAATCGCCGTCCGTATGACCCGCCCACTGGCGGGCAGACTTCTTAGGCTCAATTCGGATTTTTATCAAGCGAAGAACCTCTCCCCGACTCACGCTGTCAATATGAGGTCTCGGAGCGGAATTCGGACGGGATGCTGCTTTTTGCAATAGTCGAAGTCGGAGGAAAGTCCCGCGACGGGTTCTGCATTACTCTCCCGTAGGGCTGCTCGCCCTCCCGAAAAACGTGCTCGGAATTCAGTGTCACCACCGATCTACATCAGGAAAAATTGCAGTGAAGCTCGGTATAGAGCGGGCAGATCTCCAGCGAGCGGGAATGCTCTAATAGGACGTACCGTAGCAAAAACAAACTTCGGATGTCTTGGCATTCTACGGCTTCGACTGAATCTTTTCGCGGGATTCTCGATAAGCTGGGATAGCTACCATTGCGTGGGAGGATTCTGTTCGACGGTGCCACGTGTGATCGATCGTTGCTTCCCAGCTCAGCTGTTGCACGCGCTGGCGAGGGTCTGTGGTGATTCGCACGCGCCTCTCCTGCCGTCGCTATAGGTCCTTATCTATCTTGAATACGAAGCTTCCAGGAAAAGTTCAACGGGTCGAAGCTCGATCGTCCGTAGCTCTCGAAATCTGGAAAACCTGTCGAGGAGCACGACTTTTTTGCCGAGTCTGCTGCTTCTTGCTTCATCTAGTCCGTCGATCCATTTTCGATAGTACCTCATCAAGCAGCTCTCGTCCGTCTGCGGTGTCCTTGTCTGCCGGATCCCACGCGATAGGCCCTCCTGAAGAGAGAACAGGACGGAGAATGGACGCACCAATACGACTGGTGGCCGATCAAACGACCAGACGAACACACTGACGTACGGACAGTCGTACGACCACGCATATATTATTCGTGCATACGCGTGATCCATGTACCGACGCGCATGGAGAGCTCGTTATATAAATGGACGGAGCATTCCGATATCAGAAAGGCCTTGGTGGCGAGCGCTCTGGTAATTGGATAGCTGATCGCAAGCCGATCGATAATAATCGAGAAGGAGCAGTCCAGGGAGTTGTCAGAGGATTTTTCTGGCTGGTGGAGGGTCATCGACTCGATCCTAGCCAGGTCCCTCGTGATTGGACCAGAGACCGGACTGATCGCATTTCCCCCGATAAGTTCCGATGGGTCCTCTTGACGGACCAAGCATGCAAGTCACACCGGAGCGGAATGGATTTTAGGAAGTTCATGATGCGGCCTTGCGCCTAGCTTCATCGCCGTCGCTCCTTTCGATTGATTATTCATCCGAAAGCGGAGGAGAGAAAATCTATCGGAACGAGCGCGGGGAATATGCTTTGTTGTCAAGCGTTTCGCGTCGGAGCCCAGTCGCTCAATCAAAAGCTCTCTTTTTCTGAGCTCGTCCGAGCCCCATTGATCACCACTTGTTTACTACCCCATCCAAGGCCGTCTAAGCAGAATGAGGCTCGATAAAACTGGCAGGGTATTAAGTATCTTTCTCGAGCGGAATTCTCTTCGATACGAGCTATCGGAGATCGCCCAGCCTCATGCAGAATCATAGCCTGGCCAATAATTATTAAAATCCTCGTTTTTAAATCGGCGCTGCGCAATAAAGATCTCTCTTTCGATATCAAGGTCGGTGGAAGCACGTCACGCGTAGCTGCTGGGTAATTGAATCTTTATTCAGCGTCGTAAACGGCCGGCGGTCCATCGTCAGGCTAAGGTGATCGAGCTCGCTTTGATCAGGAAGCGTCTTAATATTTCCCTTCAACGAATTTTCGAAGCAGTGATGTGATGAGAATTCTGCCCGTACCTGTCATCGATATTCTGCTATCGCGCGGGAATGCATATATTTGTCCTCAGACGAGCCGAGCCTCCAAAAAACTTTCGGGTGCGAATCGATGACTCCGCACTATCCGCGGTCCCATGCGCACTCTTCGGACTCTTTTTTCCTCGTGGTGGGGAAAGTAATACATAATTCTCATTCGACTCCTTGATACACCGCGACTGTTCTAGGTTGCCGAGACGGGAAAGTGTTGAGCGGGTATTGTATCACTTCATGGCGTTGCAGCGAAAATAAAAGACGACGTAATCCGTCAAAGTTTGATGCCAAAATCCTGCCACGGCAAAAGACTCATCCTTCTCCCCGGGGAGACTTTGAGAAGCTCTTCCGACGCAGACTCCCAGCATCCTCGTACTAAGCGTTCTAGTCGAGTCCATATTTCAGTAAGATGAGCCCCGAGTAGAGCCTTCGTACCGAATCGTCCATGATGGATGACATCCCCGGAACGTGATGGTTGCATAAGTTTCCATAATGTTCACTTCCCTCGTCCCCTCCCCCAACGGAGCCGGGTAGCCCTCCGCGAGTAGACGGGTTCCTGCTGGTGCTGCTGTCGCCGCCGCCGTTGATTGAGCTCGCTGAGTAACCGTGAAGGCTTTGTTCCCATACTCAATCGCCGCATTTGGATCGTCCGGCCTCGCCGTGGCTCGGGCTCCACGTGCGCTATCGGTCGATAGCGGAGCTCTCCGAAACGTTCGCGCCTCAGCCCTCCGAACGCGTGGTCGTTCGACCGCTATGCACGCGCAGGACAAACGGTCAGCTGGACAATTTACCGCAGCGGCCTCCGCCGCGAACTAATAATAGGATGATTCCAGCAATGCCGATGAAGGCGAGTCGACGGCAGCGGCGACGAGGTCGCTGTCGGTCCGCACGCCCGCTGGCCGCTCGGTCTTGTTTGAGGCCCTTTGGCGGACCCGCAAAGAACGTCGTCGCTCATCTCCTCTAAGTTGACCAGGCTCTGAGCGGGTAGGTATTTTCGCCCATGGCTCCGGAAGCCGGCACTCCTCCCCATAATAAAGCCCCCCGCTTGACTACGAATGACGTCGTTGACTCTGACAACGACGACGGTCCCCATGACCAAGTTCTCCTGACTTTAGGAATTTCGTCATGGATCTGTCCCGTTCGTTCCCGGCTCCATTCTCTCAAAGATCCTGGAAACGACGGGGAAGGGTTGAAAGTTTGCGCGGACAACTTTTCTCCGTTTTTGTCCGTTCTCGGGAAGTCTCTCGGTGAGGACAAAGAGGGACCGAAGGGCGGAGAGATGGAAATGAAGTAGAAGCTAAAAGAAAGAAATTGCCAAGCGGGAATCATTGAATGAAAGTTGAGACGGAGGAGAATCTGACTTAGTGCTAGTTGAAGGCTGCAGCAGACGAGCGAAACTGAAATGTCCTGAGCGGAAAGAAGATCTCTCTATTGTGCTGACTGAACAAAGCCATGCGGGACGGGGTAATAGGGAAGACCGGGCGAACTCGAGAGATTGGACAGCCCAGCATGGTCAGAGCACTAAAAACATATGACATGGAACAGCGGATATACGTAAATGCTTTCGCTGGATGTCCGGATCCGGGATTTCACACCGTGGACGCCCTTCGATAAAAGGGAATCGGGATGGGCCTTATCCCTAACCTGCAGCGCACAAACCTGCTCCTGGCAACGGCCGGCCTTCGTGGGGAGGTTTGGAGGAACCTACGCAATCTCTCGAATCTCACCCTCAGCATATGAGGACTTAGAATATTCGTGTATACTTGAACATACGTGATATACTTGATTCGAGGAATCGGGCTGGAGCTCGCAATGCGGCGACGTGGAAGACTCCTGGAGCGGAACACAGCTCATGCTCTCAGCTCTTTCGAGAGTCGTGTCCGATTCCCTTGCACCTTGGGAGAGCCTTTCGGATTCTCTCTTATTTCGGGATTCCTGAAATTCCATGGTCCGACGACGTAAAAAGCGTGGACAGCCGGACCGGTATCTCGGCGCTGTTTACGAGCGTTGCTCCGCGCACCCGGCTCTCTCATCAGCATGCAAGAGCGCACGCGCATAACTATTCGTATGGCACCGTAGACAGGCTCGCAGGCGAACAGAGGCGTCTGACGACGAATTGTTCGGCGTGCACGCAAACCTCACTCACCGACGCCTGCGTCTGGCTGTTTTAGGCGATTGTTGTTTCCAGCGGTATTATTCATGGGGGATTCGCTGGATCATAGCAGAAAAACACGCATGTCTTTCCTCGCAGCGGATGCTTTTACGTTTCCGTGTTGGGGTTCCGACCCTGGGCTAACTCCTCTGACAGAGACTAGAACCCAGCCCCGACAAGGAACAGCTTGAGCTCGTTCGATATCCGCAGCCGCTTGGAAGTCTCAATCCTCAGAGGAACTGAGAAACTGTGTCAGGATCTCTTGGAGCCCGTTTCGTCTGTTTTTAATAGTAGGAAAGCGCCGCCGGTGTTATAATGCAGGCTTGCTCAACCGAGAGATCCGGCTTAATATGGATAGACAAGAGTCTGAGAGACAAGGAAAGC